TGGAATATGTTTTTTCATCCCTTCACTTTCAGCTGTTGTGCCTTTAAAAGGAACCTGAATTTCTGGGCCATCAGGTGACATGGGAGTTAAGGCACTGGATCACACATGGCTAACTATGCAATTTGAATCCTAGACCCAGCAGCTTGAAAATCACTCTGCACGTGTGCTTGTGTGCTTGTATGCTTGTGTGCCCCAGATCCCTAGAAGAGACTGGAGGAAAAAGGATTGTGGCATGGTTATCTCTTCTGAGGGGTGATTTCTCACTTTCTCTTTCTCTCTAGTGAGCCCAAACTAAACTGAATTTTTTATAGACAAAATAGAGTTGAGCTTTGGCTTTCTGATTCTCTCTTTTTTAAAAATCCATTTTTATATAGCCTTTGATTGGGAGTTTAATTTATGTTTAAAGAAATTATTGACAGGGAAGCACTTACTATTACCATTTTGTCATTTCCCTCCCTATCTTGTAGTCTTTTGTTTTTCTTATCATTTCTTCCTGTCTTCATTTTTTTAATAATGATATCATTTAATTCCTTTATCTTTCTTTTTGTTGGATTTTCAATAGAAGATTTCTTTGAGGTTACCATGAGGCTTATTTGTGCCTTTATTCATGAGGATATTTTAATAGATCTAAAATTCTGTATTGATAGATTTGAAATACTTTTTTAAATAATTATTTATTTTATTTATTATCATTATTATTATTATCTTAATTTGTTATGGAACATATGCACTCACCAGAGAGAGAGAAGAGAGAGAGAGAGAGAGAGAGGAAGTGAGAAAGTAAGCTGCCAGATCTGAGACTCAAACCTCAGTCGACCATGTGGGAGTCCAGCATCTCAACCACCACACAACGTGCTGGCTTCTTGAAATACTTTTTAACACCTTATGGATGCCTTTTTGTGTGTGAGTGGTCAATGGTCAATTTTATTTTTAAAGTTATTTATTGGGAGGACGGTGGGAAACAGCGGTGGCTGAGAGAAAGGGAATCAAGGGGCAAAAGAAAGAGGCAAAACATTTAAGGGACACAAAAAAGGAAAATTATCTGTTGATGATAAATGTGTATGATAATACTTTAAACTGGACTAAGATACAGTGTATTCATGCTGGGAAAATTAATTATACAAGCTGTAATGAGGTACAGCGGTTGAATGTATAGAAATAAATAAGTAAATAAACTATGAAGAAAAAGTTATTGTATTTATTTCTTGAGAGAAAGAGAGAAAGAGACCTCATGATCTTCCCTGTAGCCTTCCAGCTAGGCAGGATCATAGGTATACCCAGTATGTTCAGGTCTACCTGGGATCTGATCCTGGGGCCTTCCCAGATAACTGCATTGTTGTGAAATGCCACTCTACCATCTGCACCATCATGACTGACTATCAATTTTATTGTTCTTTATTGTGTTTTATTGTTTTTCCCCTAGATACTTTTATTTTTTTAGAGGTTTTTGCTATAGGGTGTGTGCACTCGCCAGACAGACAGAGAGAGACAGAGAGACAGAAAGCGAGAAATCACCCCCTGGGGGGGATGGCCACGCTGCAATCCCTTCTCCTCCATTCTCCTCTTGGGATCTTGGGCACGCACACATACGAGCCCGGCATGAGTTTTAAGCCACCGGGTCCAGGTCGCGAACCGCGGTCGACTACATGGGAGTCCAGCGACATAGCCATTATGCTAACTGCTGGTCCCACCCCTAGATACTTCATCAAGGTTAGTCTGTGGAAATTTCTTCACCATTACCAAAAGTGGTCTTAGTTAAATTTTTCTTGCTTGGCAGTGATTTGGGAAAAATTATGAAAATACTATTAATTTTTCACACAGATAAAAATTTATAACTTAATCAAGGAGGAAAAAAGCAAAACATTTAATGGACACAAAAATGGAAATTATCTGTTGATGATGATGTGTATGATTATAGCTTTGATTGGACTAATATACGATGTATTCATGCTAGTAAAAAACAGTTTTTGTTCTGAGAATATCTATATTCAACTTATTTCTGTTAAAATACATTTTCATAAAAAATGATGATACTGCAGATAATTTGTTTGTTTATTATCTTTATTTGACACAAGAAAAGTTAGCAACTCCAGTGGATTGAATAGTGTCACCTTCCTCTGTCCAATTTCTGGATACCCAGAACCTCAGAATGTGACCTTATTTAGTTAGTATGATCTCTGCAGAAGTCATTAGTTAATAATCTCAATATAAAATCATCCTGGATTTAGGGTAGGCTTTAAATCATAAATTCAGTGCTTGGTGTCTTTATAAGAGAAAGGAGAGGGAAGGTTGGGCACAAAGAGACATAGAGAAGACATTTAAAGATGAAAGCAGAGATTGGAGTGATGCTTCTATCAACCAATAAATACTAGGAGCCACCAGAACTGGAAGAGGCAAGGAAGAGTTCATCCCTAGAGCCTTTGGAGGGAGTATGGTCCTGCTAGCAATTGGATTTCAGACTTCTGGCCTCTACAACCATGAGATAATAAATTTATGTTGTTTTAAGCCACCAAATTTATGATAGTTTGTTATGGCAACCCTAGGAAACTAATACAGCAACCATATGCCAATTTATAACATTCTTTTTGCTAGTTTACTAGCCCATTAAACCCAATGGACATTATGCAAACAAATCTATGCATAAGTATGTGTACCTATGTAGGAAGGAGTATGCATAGCTATGTGCCCCTCCCCCACCTGTTCTATGCATAACTTAAATGTTCCTTTGGTAGACCAAAATACTGTACCAGGGGTCAACAGTCTGGGTGCAGTTCCTGACTCTGCCACTAACTTCCTTATGTGAGTTATATTTATTCTTTAGTCTGGTTTATCTCTCTGTGCAATGATGATGATTATTTTTATGGGTCCTTTCAGTTCTGTGGCTTTAAGGTTTTGAGTCCCCATCTGTCCACATACTCAATGTATGTAGGAAGATATTCATGTTTTTGAAGAAGTGTGTAGCTGGAGGGTAACACGTGTACTTCACTGGGTAGGAATAGAGAGCATTAGGAAATCAGGATAAAAAATCCAACAAGATGATAGTTTAAATAGAAATGGCACACAGTGAACAAAATTTTGAATGCCTACAATGTCCCAGTTACTCTATGTGTATTGAGGCCAATATACTTATTTGTTGATGATAACATGTACGACTAAGCCACTATAGTGTATTCTAGATGGGAAACTGCATTTTGTATGCTGTGATGATGTTCAGTGAATGAATGTAAAATAAATAAATAAATAAATACAGAATAACTCCCTTTTGTTCAGATGTCCTTTGGTTCTCTGACTAGATGGACTGCAAATCACAATATGAAGAATTTAAAAAAAAACATTTATGCTAATCATTATATATGGTAGAAGTTGAATTCCTTTATAGGAGCAGCCCTTTACACACATATGCTTATAGCTATATTGCTCCTGAAATACTAAAAATGGAATGTTGAGTCAATGTGATTTGAAGTCCCATTTGGTGACTCACATTTGGAGATCCTTTGAAATTTGATACTATATTTTAAAAAGTTTATTTATTTCTTCTATAAGCAAGAGAAAGGGGAAGAGAGAGAGAGAGAGAGAGAGAGACCTCTAACAGAATTTTCATGCCATGGTCCAACCCCAGCCTTGACCAGTTTAGATCATGGACACATGGACATGTATGTTTACACCTGGTGTTACAAGGAGATCTCCAGTCATGAACCCTAGACCTTCTCATATGGCCTCAGTATTGTGGAATGATTCATTACTCTACATGACTATGGCTGGCCTGGTAGTCTATTTTTTATTCTCTAAGAATCAACTCCTTCACCTATAATTTTCCTGTCTTTAGATCCTGGGTTGTTAAATCAAGAAGGGTCTTTTAAGATCATCTACATTCATCATCACTCATTTTGCCATTGAGGATACTGAGGGCTAGAGTGAATAAGTGACTCTTTGAAGTAATTTTCAGAGGCAGAACTTAAACCCAAGTCCTTTTCTTTGTTTCTTAAGTCTCCTTCTACCCTGGTTGCACCATCACTGTACTTCACCCAGTTTGCTTTTTTTTTCTTTTGTCCCAATGTGGATATAATTCTTTAGTACTTTGAATTATTGAATCTCCTCCCCTCCTCATCCCCCCTGTGCAAACTCACGTGTAGGCTCACAGACTGACTTACATACAGTACTATCCTCTTCAGAAATTTTGATAAAGCAAGCATTGTGGTCCTGCTGCATGTTTGTCTTGCTTAGAGGGAAGCTGGAGCTGACAGTTTTGAACTGGGTTCACATTGGTTGGGGGTTGGGGGTTGGTGGTGGAAGTTAGGTCATTAGGGGATTCAGGTGGCTGAACTCTTTCTTCTTAGAGTGTGAATGACAACCCCTTTGATGGTGTATCTTTTCTTCCCCAAGCTCATTATTGTCCTCAGAGATGGAATCTGAACAGACAGGATTGTCAAACCTTTATTTGGAGCCTGGGTTAGAAGGCACACCCATAGGGATGTAAGGGAGAGAGAAAGGGAGGGAGCTCACTCTTCTGTCTTGAGTAGCAAGTAAGCGACACACATCAGCAATGGTAATCCATACTTCCTTTATCCTCCGATTCGCTCTTACCCTTTTGCTCTCTTTCTCTTCCCCTGGTTTCCTCTGCTCCTCCCCTTCTCTCTGAGCTTCCCTCTATTTGTCTGCTGGATACCTTAAAGAATAAAATAGTACTTTAGGCTTTCGTAAAACCACCACAGATCTAAAGCCTTGCAGCATTGTATTCTGAGCCCCAGCACAGCCGCGTGCTCAGCACCAGGCAGTGGTGAACCCAAAGCCAGAAAAGGGGGAGGGGAGAAGGGGAGGAGGGGAGGAGGAGGGGAGGGAGAGAGAGAGAGAGAAGAGAGAGAGAGAGAGAGAGAGAGGGGGGGGGGGGGGGGGGGGGAGAGAGAGACAGAGAGAGAGAGAGAGAGAGAGAGAGAGAGAGAGGGAGAGGGAGAGGGAGAAGAAGAGGGAGGGAGGAAGAGAGGGAGGGAGAGAGAGAGGGAGAGAGAGAGGGAGAGAGAGGGAGAGAGCGTGAGCGCGCGCAAGCTAGCGAGCAAACCAGGGACAGACGGAGAGACCAGGAGAGAGACCCAGAGAAAAAGAAGCAGCTGAGCTCTGTCAGGGCTCAACCTTCAACTTGTTTCAGTTCATTCATCCTTCTCTCTGCTTCGGGAAGTGACTGGCACTCGGTAAGAAACAGAGATGTTCCTCATTCCCCCTCCCCCAAGCCAGCCCAGGTCTCCTTTAGCGATAGCATCTTTCCCCGTACTGAGAGTCTCCTTGGGCTGGCAGGGAAGGCGAGACATGCTCTGCAGCTGTGATGCTATCCTGGGTTCCCCAGTGGGGCTGGTGGAAGCCCTGAGGCGGCTTCTGGCAGGGAGGCACTGGGGCAAAACCCGATTTGGGGAAGGGGGGTTGTGATGTGGTGTATGCGCGATTTGCTTCATTGTCAGTGAATTGTTTTGTTCTTCTTTGGAAGCAGGTCAGCATTGACCTTGCAAATTGCTCGGGGGGCCGGGCAGCTGCTGCAGAAAGCCACAGAGTGGCCCCTAGCCAGAGCAGACAGCACTGTCATGACCCCCCAGACAGCTCTAGGCACCAGGGATAGGGTAATGGCTGGAGCTGCCTCCCTCCTTTAACTCTTTCTCTGCAGCTGCTTCTTGCTGCTGGAAATGAGACAGAGGAGAATACCAGGCAGCCCCTTCTCAGTCTCCGTTACCTCCCCCAGATGCAAGTGAGTGGAAAGTTGTAAATTACTGCTTCCTTTGAAGCAGGTTGAGACCTCTCCCCATCATTAGGAGACTGTGGGTTTGGGCCTGAGTTCCCCCACAAACTTGGGAGGCTTGTCTTGCTTCCCTGAGGGAAGCCCCATTGTGCCTGCCCACCCCCAATGCCAGTAGTTGAGCTGACAGGCTAGACAGGGTTTGAGGTATACTACTCGTCCTGGTAGGTAGGCATCATCATGTTAGGTCCAGCTGTGTCCTTGGGAGGGAGAGAACACCTGATGGTGTGTCTGAAACTGGCTTCCCAGTTTGCTGCTCCTGTGACTGTGGCTGCCCATAGCACAGGCAAGAGGACTGGGGGAGGGGAGGCTGTTAGATTTTGAGAGAGCAGGCTGTGGAGCCAGGATTCCCAGTGTGAATGGTATGGTTTGTTGAGGGTCAGCAGGTTCTGGCTGCCTGGAGCTCTGCAAGGACTGGCTGGAGCTCTCATAGTGTAGTGCCTCTGAACTGGTAAGGTAAAGGATCTGGTTAATTGATGTTATTTTTTTTGTTAGAGATGCTGCTGTGTTAGTGATAATAATTATGGCACCAATGACTAACATTTTTGAGTGTTGAATATGGTTTGGATCCTGGGACAAAGGTTTAATGTGTCTGAATGACCTCATTGAATTCTTACATCAACGCTGTGAAGCAGACACAATTTTTACCTTTGGTTTGCTGATGAGGAAACTGAGGCATAGAGAAGTTAAGTAACATGTCCAAGAATTCAGAGCAATTAAATGTCCCAATTGGGAATTAAGACACAGGCAACCTGGTTCCAGAACCCATGGTCTTAATCATTAAGCACTATTGCCTTCTTGGGCAGGATTTTTCACCTTTGTCTATTAGGTGCAGGAATGGCAAGATCTTTTGGAAAGCTGTGGCCTGCCCTTGGTGTAAAGTACCAGGAACTAGAGTCAGACAGGGACCTGGCCTTGGTGGAGCCTATCCTCATCTGGATTTCCTGGAGGGGCTGCCCCAAAGAAAGGTTTTTCATGGCCAGACTTTTTTCCCTTGAAAATGATGCCTGGAAAGACTTCACTTTTCCACTGTCATAGCTTCATCCTCCTGCATCCAGCTTCAAACTATGCCTTTTAGGAATAGATCTTGCTCTTATTTCCTGAGAACTTGGACTCATTCTGTACTGAAAATTTTAGGCTACTAAAATTAGCCTTGGAACTGGAATAATCCCTAAAGGTCATTAAGCCTTCACTTCTTCACTCAGTTCTTGAATTTGTCCCAAGCATCCAATATGTTGACTGATTGCCATTTGAACTCCCTGCAGTGACAAGACAGCTCATGAGTGGCTCTTTGTATTATTGAACAACTCTGATCATCAGAAAAGTAATCCCCATCATAAGCCAGTTTCCCTGTAACTTATGTTATTTGATTCTTTGGGACTATCCAGAACAAACGTGGTTTTTCTTAATAATACTTTTTCAGTTAGTTGAGGACAGCAATTATTTCCCCCCTGCCCCAACAAGTCTCGATATAACAAGACCACAGAGTGAAGGCTCGTCATTTACTTCATTCTGAAAACTAGATTTTTATTAAGATGACTCTAATGTCCCACTTGTTTGTCAGCCACAAACTGTTGGTACTGAACTTTCTAAGCAACTCTGATAGTGTATGTTCTCTTCCTTAGAAGAGCATGCTTCCTATTGTTAACTGCAGGTGGGAACAAAGGTCTCTTTTGTACTCATGAAGACCAGGAACTTGTTGGTACTAGTCCTTCTGAAGCCCCAGAATATCTATATAACAGCCAGACAATAAGCATGTGGAAACATTTGAGGGGTGAGGGCAATTATCACAAAGGAGATATTTGAAATAATGGTGATTCAAGGGTCATAGAGTATATGGAAGATAGGAGAGTGGAATCTTATGTCATAAAGTGTCTCAGAAATATGCCAGCACTGAAGGGATGGATAGTACAGAGTAAGATTGGGTAGAAAAGCAGAGAGCATGCAGTGTGCAAGAGTGGAATGGACACTGATCTGGGTGTTAGCAAACTTGGGCTCTATTCCCTGCTCTGATAATTTGCCAGTTATCTTGGACTCATGACCTCCCTTCCTAGACCTCAGTTTTCCCATCTGTAACATTATGAAGCGAACTCTATCTACAAAAGTCTTTCAACTCTGAAATTCTCTATCTGGAGTAAATCATAAAATCTCAGGGTTATACAAGGATTCAGAAATCATCTAGGCCAGTGCTTTTCAAACCTTAAGGTGCAAAAAAAAAAAATATCCCCTAGGGATTTTGTTAAAATGTTAATTTTGATTTAGGAAGCCTAGGGTGCGGCCTAAGATTTCGCATTTTAACAGGCTGCCAGGTGATGCTGGAACCCATGCTCCACTGACCACACTTCAGATAGGAAAGCTCTAGTGCAGTGCTTGGCAAACTCTCCTGGGGAAGAAGCAGCTTTTTCCCCCCAGTCCATCACAGACATTAACTCTGAATAACTATAAAATGAAAGAAGAGACACACAAAATATAAGCCCATTTCTTTGCTATTAGAATTGAGAAAATTTTTTTTCAAATTGCTCTAGTCTTTTGTGTTTCCTTTCAGTTTCTGCAGTGTTAATGCCTGATGATAGAGGTTTGCAGACTGACAGTGATCTGTGGACCACACTTTGAGCAGCACTGGTTTAGGCTACCTGCCTATCTAATCTGAGAGGCCCAAATTAGTTTAGCTCAGCTATAATTTTGAAATTATCTCTGTCAGATGACCTTTCATCCTCAGGTTAAATACCTCCTTTGAGGAGAACTTATTGTCACAAAGTAGCTTTATTCAGGTGCTGTGACTGTTATAAAGTTGTTTCCCCCCCTTAAACTCTTAGTTTCCTTATAACTTTTATAATTTTCACTCTTAAATTTATATATTCCAGATAGACAGGGGCTGTATCAATGTAGTTTATTTTACCATCAGCCACTAACTTAGTGTATGGCACAGAATAGATGCTTAATAAATGTTTGTTAAATGAATGACTAAACCATTTGGTGTTAATTATGAGGCCATATACTAATTAAAGAAAAATAATTTTGGCTTTCTTCCAGCATTGGAGAGGCAATATCCATCTCATTTTATACATTTTTTATGGTGAACTGGCCAGCTTGACTGTTCTGGAGAGCCACTTGGCATCTCAACTTTATTTTGAAGGAATTTTAGGAAACCAGGCAAAGATTTTGCATACTCTAAATTCCATGTCTTTACCCTTAACTAAGACATTCGTCATTCAATTGTTCAAAGTCTTACTTATTATTATTAATTTGTTCAATGATTTGGTTAGGCATTGTGCAGAGGATACAAAGGTGAGAAAAATAGATATGATCCCTACTTGTATGGAGTTTATACTTTGATGGGGGAGAGGCCATTAACCATATCATGACCATAACCATGTTATTTCATCAGTGATAAATGCTACGAAGGATAAGTTTTGAGGGTGGAGTGAGACTATGAAGGTACAACAGAGGAAGCTGACCTAGCTTGGTGTTTAAGCAAAGCTCTCTTGAGGAAATGACATGGAGGCTGAGTACAAGGTGTATGGAAGTGGGCTGGAGGAGGGTTATGGAGGTGGTGAAGCAGTTTTGTAGATGGAAGAAAAAGCATGTACGAGGGCCCCAAGATAAGAGAAGCATAGCAAATTTGAGAAACTGAACAAAAACTGGTGTGATTGAAGTGGTCCATTGTAAGGATTTTGGTATTTACTCCAGAAACACAACTGATTACAGGGTTTTAAGTGAGGTGACTAATGGTCTAAACAAATACAGACAGACATTATTCTATAAACCATTAAACCATATATTCATAAATTGTGATTTATGTGTAGATAAAAAGTGTACTGCTTTGTAAGGATTGCATGGCTGAGGCCAGCAGGTGACATAGTGGTTAAGGTACTGGACTCCCATGTAGTTGATTTTGGTTTGAGTCCCAGTCCTGGTGGCTTGAAGCTCATGCCAGGCACGTGTGTGTGTACGCCCCAAATTCTGAGAGGACGATAGAGGAGAAGGGATTATGATGTGGCCATTCCCCCTGGGGGATGGTTTCTTGCTTTCTGTCTCTGTGTCTGTCTCTCCAATAATTGCACGTGCTCTATAGCAAAAATCTCTAAAAAAAAAAAGTAAAAAGAAAAGGATTGTGTGGTTGCCATTATAGGATTTTGTAGCAGAGTTGAGTACTGATCAATGACACCCAGTTTCTAACAGTCCTGCCCACTCTGATGCTGTCTTGGTGCTTATTAGCAGTTCACTTGGGTGATGCATATCCATTTTATAGATGGCAGATGACAGTGCTGCTAGTAAGGAAGCGTAAATGTTCCTCTTAGGCTCATGTCCACGTGAGCATAGTTTACTCAAAAACCAGGTAGCTTAAATGAGACCCTCAATGAGCTAGCACCCTTCCCACGTCCCCCAACTATCTCCATTCAGAAG